TAAGGCATGCTTTGTCTGTCTCGATAATACGCATTTTGCCCTGGCGTGTAGGCAAAAGGAACGTTGTGAGTGTTGAGGACGTCATCATACACTCCTGCATGTAAGGCGATCGAGGAACGATCAGCGAACATTGCGAGACGAGGGAATTTGTGCCCTGAGTAGAATCGCATATGTACCATCACGACTAGGTGTTATTCCTATCAAGCTAGCAACACCGACCGGAACTATCGAAACGTACGCATTCTTGGACAGTGGCTCTGATGTCACGTTAATAAAACGAGAGCTACTAGTTAACAGCGGAGTCTTCACCAAGCCGACGGCATCGACGATCAACACACTAAGTGGGTCTATCGAATGTAACTCGGAAGTCAGAGACGTAAGACTGCTGCCCATGAATGAAAACGAATCAGTTGAAGTCGAAAGGGCTCTAGTAGTTGAAGACTTGCCACTGCGTGCGGAATCATCCATTAAGAAGTTGGCATCTTCATGGTCACACTTGAACGGTATAATGTTCGACGAGCTCACGGATTGTGAGGTCGGCATAATTATTGGAAACAACGTTGTGGAAGCTCATTGGGTACTTGACCAACGCCTGGGTGAAAAACGAGAACCGTTTGCCGTGAAAACTTTGCTTGGATAGATGTTGCTTGGATCTTCACGCGACATATTAGAAGGTAACTCTATCTGTCACTATATTGTTAATCAAGAGAGGGAGGTGACAGAAACATTAAACACTTATACGAATCTGAGTTTTCGGACACGTCTGCAACGTTGGAGGATGAATGGGCTCTGACTATGGCACGTTTGTCCAGTAGGCACATAAAGGGGCATTTCCAACTGTCACTTCCCTAGAGAAATGGTACGTCGAAGTTCCCGGAAACGTATCCTTTGGCGCGGAACCGACTGCTCCATCTGAAGAGTAAGCTGGATCGACAGCCTGAGTAACTTAAAAAATACGAGCAAACTTTCAGTCCCCACAGGAAAAAGGGATACATCGAGCGGGCTGAGAGTAACAAAACGTTTCCGGAACCAAGACGTTGGTATTTACCTCATCATCCTGTTGTAAACCCCCGAAAACCAGACAAAAT